ACACAAAACCAAAGCCGGTTAGCGGGTGCCTGCGCAGCCGCCTGGACTCCTGAAGAACCTGGTGCTGCCTGGTGACCAGGCAGGGGGAGCAAGTGGCTGAAGAGTACCTCATCCTCCTCTGGACAAGAATAGAGTGAGGTCTATATCCCGGGCCTGATAAATCAATTACCAGGAGGGAGACTCCTTCTCTGGAAGAGAGGACAGGGACTTCTTAAGAGGCCCTCTGGGCAGGTGCTTACTGAACACTAGCAATGGTTCAATTCTCAGGCTGAGTGCTTTCCATGCGCTATTTCATGGGCCCCTTACGTCAACACTGTGAGGCACTGTTTTCACGCAGGAGGAAACAGAGGAGGGGCTGACTGAACTCCCCGGTTGTTCGGCTCATGAATATGCCTTCAGATTAAACAAAACTTCCCACTGACCTCCGTCCGTCCGTCTGTCCGATCAGCTTCATTATCTCTGTGATTCTGGGTGTTCTGTATGCTCAGGAATATGTCCTGGGGTTTGACAACCACACCCCAACCTAGACCAGAGGCCAGCGAGCCGAGCAGGCCCGCTCCTGCAGAACGAAATGTTCTGAAAACCCACACCTGAGACTAAACATGTGCAGGCGATCTCGTCATCGAGAGAGATAAGTGCTGGGAGGCTGAGGATAACTCTGATCTCCTTCTGAGGAGAAGTGATTGGGTGGGGACGCGGGAAGAGACGGTCTGATATGGAGGGGATTTCATGTTGAAATTGCCCCACGAGGTACTGGGAGTTGCCCTGGTTGCTCGGGGGAATGAGAAGAATGAAGACATTAACCATACTCGTGCAATCCAAATACAACAAGCACTTTAAGAGGCGTTGACAGTGCCGGATGCTGCCAAGAAGTATCTGGAGACAGCACGGCTAGCTCACGCCTGGAGCTCAGTGGAGGCCGGGCCCCAGGAGAACGCCTGTGTCTGTGCAGAGATGCTTCATCCGGGCTGCTTCTTTCACAGCAGCCATCAGCAGGAAGGACAACACCGCCGATGAGATAAAGCAGTTGGGGCTGATTTCCAGTGAAGGCAGGAACTTTTTGTACAGCTTTAGCTCGAGAGACGTAGTTAAGATTGGTACCCTGCTAAGTGCACACATCACAGAGAACTGGCATCTGCTAATGCTTCCATTCCCAAGCAGCAGGACCCAACCTTCGAGAACATGGGCAGCAGAGAGGGAAATGCTTAGAATGAAAACGGAGCTGCAGTTAGGATGACAAAGGAGCATTTTCTGTAGTTGACAGAGAACGCAAACGTGTGCCATGGGGACTGATAAATTAATGTTGGCAAAAGACCCCCTTTATTGCTTTTCAAAAGACCGTACCACAGAGAGGCTCACCAACTCCTGCCCTTCTCAGAAGGCTACTTTCCTAGAGACTGCTAGGAAACGCTGACAGGCAGGGCAGGGGGCAGAGAAAGAGAAAGAGAAAGACAAAGGGTGCCTCCAGGTGTGTTAAGCTTGTGAACCCCTTTGCTTTACTATGTGAGTGAGGGAGGGAGAGAGACTGAAGACGGAAACAGAGACCCCTCCAAACAGAGCCCAGGAGATGGGCGGGTAGCACGAAAGAGCAGCGAGGGAAAGCATCCTTTAGTGCCTCTCTGGCTACCATCCAAGGGCCTCTGGTGGCGCGGCGGTTAAGCATTTGGCTGCTCTGGGGGAAGGTTGGCCGTTTGCACCCAGCAGCTTGTCTCTCAGAGGGAGGAGAGAGCTGGTGGCCGCTTGGTAAAGATTTCCAATCTGGACAACTGTACGGAGCAGTTCTACCCTGACCCATAGGGACGCTACAAGTCAGAATCGCTACAAGGCAGTGGGGGCTTGTCTGGGACAGAACCTCAGGACTTGCTCATTTATCCCTGGATGACGAGCAGAGCATCACCTGACACTGGGAGGACAAAGGGAGAACATACTCTTCGAAGCAGGAGTGCACAAATGACTCTCCATTCTCCGCTCTCTGGCCAAGAGAACACTCCATCTGAGGGAGGACATAATAGTTCTGCTGACTTTCAGCTCTTCGACGAATAAGCCGTTCTCAGTGGCCTCTTGCAATCACCCCAGCCTATTTGACTCTCAGGCGTCTCTAACGGCGTCCTTGCTCAGTGGAGACCTGGTGCCGTCCACTCTGTTACACTCACACCTGCAATTAAAACCTGGGGTCTCCCGGAGAACAGATGGTTTTCCCTTCCCTGAAGGGCCAACGCAGAGTTCTGTGCCATTTAACTTCTCATTGATCTTCCACTGCAGGGGACGTTACTGGTTGTACACATTTCACTGGCAGATGGGTGAAAAGGGAAAGACTTTGGGGGCAGAGCACAGGCAACTGAAGGAGAATGATGGAGAAGAGAAACAGAGAAGGCGCAAGGCCCGGGACCACTCCCCGTCAGTTAGATTGCTAATTATTGAGTGTGTGGTACCTAGCACCCGAACGCTCTGCCCAGCATGAGCCACCTTTTCTCTCAGGCTGGTCTGCTCTACTGCAGAAAAGATCAGGAGTGGGCGTCTGGCTGCACCCACTACACTGGGAGACGTGCACACAGAGACACATGACCAGGATTTACCATGGAGTGACATTCCAACCCCGGGCAATACAGTTAGAGCCACAATTCGAGGACCCGCAGACGCCATGGCTCCCTTGCAGCTGATATCCTACTTCATTTGGGGGCAGGTAGTTAAAGGAGTCCCAGGGTGGTGCCGAGTTCAGAGTTTGGCTACGAACGTACTGGCTATTGGTTGGAACCCACCCAGAGGCACTGCACAAGACAGGTCTGGCAATCTGCTTCTGAAAGGCCATAGCCCTGAACACCGCACGGAGCGGCTCCACTCGGCACCCAGGGGGATCACCAAGAGCCAGAGCCCACTCGACAGGAACTAACAGCGCTCGTTCATCTTCGTGTATTCCTTTTTCAAAGGTACAACGGCCTGCATGCCCTGCCCAGACGGAGGGCTAATAAGGGGAAGTTTCAAAAAGTGCGTGGAAAAATGGGGTGAAAAGCTAGTGAAATTTTTCCACGTGCCTTCTGAAGTCCCCTCATAACAAATAACAATGGTGAGTTCTTTGGATGGTCGGCACTAGAGGAGCCATGATTAGCGGAGGCATGATTATCAAAAAGGCTGTCACTGAAATCTGCAATTCAAGGCCCTGTATCTGTTATGTCCTTCTAGTAACTGATCTTGATTACCATTATTTAGATTTTAAATGGTCCAGGTTTTGTAAAGGTTATTCTAAAGTTTTCCTGTTTGGCAAAAGTGCCCCACAGCCATCAATTTAAAAGCACACAGCTACAGCCGTGACTGCCATACTTCCCTGCCTCCCAAGGAGCACTTCATCGCTGATCAGCTCACCTGGCGAGCATCATCTCCCCCCGAACTCACTCCAGACTCAGCCTTCAGAACACACTACTGGTAAGATGGACAGCTCCCCTTTAAGTAAGTCAGCCCAGAGAACCCACAGACTACAATGGGGAAACGTCGTCCAGACAACCAAGACAAGGAAACAGATCATACAGAAATGAGGAGGACAGTGTTTTCAGGTGGCACTTTGGAACCTGGGCTGGTCTTTGGCTGCCGCTTTGTTGAGCCCGGCTGATGTTGGCACCTGTGGTGAACAACCACGGGACGGCGGTCAATGATGCAGGGACCACCCGTGCGATTTACCCAGCGCCAGGCGCGTCCTTGGTCCTGCAAGGCAGAAGTCATTTGCTACGGAGTGTCGGCCAGCTTTTACCTGAACATGACGGGCAGCACTGTCCAGGATGAATGGTGGGGTTGCCACAGGCAGGCACCGAGCAGGTGATCAGGGCACACATTTCCCGTCCATTGTGACAGTAGCACTCCCGGCACCCGTCATGCCAGCTCTCCTCATTTTTATGATGATGGCCATCCATGGACAGACATGTGCCTGACAGGACAGGTGGCCCGGCGGAAGCAGGGACCTCTGGACAGACAGAAGGCAGCCTGGTAAAGCAGCAGCTACTGCACAGGGTAAATAGCCCATGGGGTCCTGACAGGGGTGGTACGGAGCCACCCAAAGGCATGCCTACAAGGGACAGTTGGTGACACGAGAGATGCTCCCGGGAAGCATTTAAGTCAATAAGGACTCAGTCTGGTAAACATCAGAGAATACGCAGAAGACACTGCAAAAGTGTCTCTCCTCTGGGGGTGGGGTGGGGTGTTAAAGTTGCTTTTCACTTCTTCCAGTCAGTCCCCCCCCCCCCCCTCGTGCCAATGTTAAACCATAAGTGAGCCCTGGCTTTGGAACACAGGCACGTGCCACACTACAGACATATGTTTAATATACACTGAATAACCATTCTAGAAGGTTTACCCAAAGAGGGAACTCTAGGCCTTTTGGAACCTGGGTTTGGCTTTTCAGAACAAATGAAGTAACAATCCGATTTGTGTTTACTCTGTCCTCTTAAAAAACAAACAAACAAACAAACAAACAACAACAAAGCCAAACCTTTAGGGCGATGACTTTCTCACTTTGAACACACACAGAACAAGCTTTAGGGTGCTTTCACTGCTTCCTCTGTGGGCCACGTTGGGAACAAAAATAAACTGGAACAGGAGGCAGGGGATGCGCAGGACACAGCAGGCACATGCTCACATGCCATCAGGCTCGCCCCGGGGCAGGAAGGCCAGGCAACAGGAGCGCTCAGGACTCATGCTCACACAGTGCAGCCCCGTCGGACAGACATGGGCCTCCTGAGCAAAGCTTACTTGGCACAAGCCTTGGTTCTCATGGAAAACTGTGTTACTAGAGAACACAGGCACGGATTTTGTAGGCACACTTATCCCTCAAGACCTTTGAAAAGGGGATCGTGGCTGTATTGATGGCATGACTCAACTCCTGAGCTGCGCGAGACTCCACGGAGGCTAAGGTCCCTGGGACACATACAATCAGAGTGCCCAGAAGATGATTAATTTGGCCAATGTGCTTGGGCCTGATAGGCTCACTTTAAATTTTCGCCTCAGCTTTTAGTCCATTAAGATGAAAGGAAAACGGAGTCAGGTGGCATGGCCCCACAGAGAGTGGCAATTGTGCCAGAGAGGGAAGCAATCAAGGCAATGGCTTCACTTACACAAAGTGCGTCTGCCCTCTCTGTGTACCATTCCTTGCCTTGAAGGGGGAGGGCCGTGCGCGAGCACTTACCTCTGCACTTGCAGAGAACACAGCCGTGGCTGTCCTGCTGGAAACCCAAGGGGCAGATCTTACTGCATGGGGGCTCCGGACACTTCCTACAGCGGCAGATGTCACAGCCGTGCTTATTCTTCCTGGGTAATTAAAAGTTTGTCAGAGGTCAGAAAATCACCATGGCTCAAATGGTGCTCAGGTGCTCAGACCCAGGGTCACTGAGGTGGTACTGCTACTAAACAGAACCTTTCGGTTCTTGCTCTCAAAGACTTGCCCTCAGATCCTGGAGTGATGAGTAATTAGCTCCCCGGGGCCGTGACCACACATGACCACGACCAAGGTCATGAATCGCACAAGCGCGTGCGTGCTCCCGGGATTGACCATCAGAATCTTAATGACAGGAGAGCTGATTTAATTAGGAAAAGTGGGGTCACCGTATATGTTAAATATATAGATATATATTAAAAAACCCAGACTGCGATGCCCCACGAACAAGATGCTGGATGCACAGCTGGTCGGCGCTGAGACAGCACTGGAGGCAAAGGGCACGGTGCTTCCTCAGGGACCACATTCTCCGAATGACAGAGAGCCCGGCACAGCTGAATAACGGCAGAGAGCTCCCACCTCAGGGAAGACGGGGGCGGGAAAGAACCACAGATCCAGGAAGGCTACATTAAAATAATAATAATAATAATAAAAAAGCCTTGGCACATTCTGTTATCTGAAGACCAGTAATTAGTTCATCAAGGAGCCCTGGTAGCACTGTGGGTTAGGCACTGGGCTGGGCAGAAGGATGAGACGGTTTTCTCCTGCAGAGACCGACAGTCTTGGGAACCTGAAGAAGGGTGGATCTAAGTCTGAATTGACTTGATGCCGGGTGGGTTTGACGTGGGGTTAAGATTGAGGTAGAAAAGATGCTTACACTTAATCCTTGATTATGAGCTTTAGAATAAAAGTTTTTCATTGTCAGTGGCTTGTTAATTTTTTTTTTTTTAACCTAAAAAGGTTTGGAAACCTATGATCTAGATGGCTCTGGAGTTTGATTCAATATCAAATGCAAATCATGGTTCATATCTCTAAGGAAATTTATAAAAACGTATGGCTGGCTACATGAAGAAATGGTGTTGCCTGGTAGCAAGGCAGGATAACGTAAGGGTACTACACTGTAGTGCCCGTGACTGGCTGTCAATGGATTTTACAGTAGAAACATATGATCACAAAGCAGTCACTGAAAAACCACAGCACAGTAAGGGGCCCTGGTTGAGTAGTGGTTACATGCTGGGTTGCAATCCGCTCGGTGGGGAATTCAGAACTGCTAGCAGCCCCAGGGAAGAAGAATGGGCTTCCATTCCCGTAAACGGTCACCGTGTCGGACACCCACAGGGGTCGCCAGGAGTCAGTGTTGACTTCACCGCAGTGAGTTTGCCTTCTTTTGGAGGACCTCATGGCAGCTGTTTCCCCTTGCCTTGTTCAACGACCCTTTGATAGGGGAAGTCCCCAGAACAGGGCCCCCAGGGATAGTCATAACAAGGCTCTCTGTCCATCTTCACAGTAATGCAAGTGGGAACCTGATCCTATCTCTGGAGATATAATCCTTTCCCTGCTTCCTCAATAATCTAACACCGACGGGACATGGCAAAGACATTAAGACAGCTACCCGTAGTCACAGGCTGTTAGGACCAGGGCACACTTACAGGTATCCCAATGGACAGTGCTTGTCACAGATCACGGGCTTGCACTTCTTTGGCCGTGGGCGGCACAGGCAGATCTCACAGTTGTGGGAATCAGTTTGGAAGCCAAAGGGACAATCCAAGGTACACCCTTGCTTGAGGCTGGTGCACAGCTCCTGCCCTGTGAAGAGACACGCACAACATGTTTCTCAGAGCGATGTCCGGAACACAGCACTCGCTTCGCAAATACCTTCCTCTACGCACACAGAAATGACAAAGGCCAAGAGTTACTGCGGCATTACAAGGGTTACAATTCACAGAGCCTGCTATGGTGGTGATCACGACACGACCAGATGTTTTGGCCCAGCTTTGAAAACCAGAATTCTTAAGTATGCGCAAACCTAGGACTTGAAGAAGAGGCTGAGATGACTATCATTTGAGGTACTGCTGAAGTTTAACTTGTTGAGGCTGTGGGGCGGTGCACACAATTTGCTTTTTATTAGTCACCTCTCACTAATGATGGGCACATTGTTAATATATGAGAACGAGAAACATATGTAACACCAGATTTCATGACATATTTTGTTTTGATTGCATGCTTATGGTGACATAGGTAAAACTGTCACGTGTGTACTCTTACAGGTGTTCGCTATCATCATAGAACATTGTATATTACATACCACATGAGGGATCTTTTACTCTTCCTTTAAAACAAGGGTGGAAACGTCTGGCCCAGGGGCTGGGTAAGGCCTGAGAAATCATCAAGACCACCAACATCACCCACCAAAAAGAAGAATTTCCAGCCATCACATTAGGAGTGAGATGATTAAATGTTTGACCAGTCTAATTAGCAGACTAATTTTTTTTAAGTCATTTTATTGGGGACTCATACAATTCATCACAATTCATACATACATCAATTGTATAAAGCACATTTGTACATTTGTTACCCTCATTATTCTTTTTTTTAAATTGTTTTATTGAGGGCTCGTACAATTCTTATCACAGTCCATATATACATCCATTGAGTCAA